ATTATTTTTTAAAAGTATTTTCACTGACATTTCGAAGAATTATCGTTGCCTTCATTTCGCTTGAATCCAAGTATGATTTTGACATCGCATGTCGAAATGTTTTGACGTCATAGTTACATTGCTAATAACATGACGTCACAGACTCGAGATTTCTTAAACGCTCCGCCCACTGAACACTTCGATTGGTTAAAATTATTAATAAATATTCATGAGGGAGTAGTCCCAGGGAGTAGCTCTGATTTTCCAGGGAGTAGTCCTCAGATGAGGGAAATAGTCTCTTCTCGTGGAAATAGACAGTTTTATGTTATTAATTTCATATAGAGTAATAAGAGTAGAGGTATAATAAATCTTTCTGCATAATGTCCTATGTCTGTTTAAACCTTGTTTATTTAATTATTTTCATGAATATTAATGAATATATAAACAGTATTGAATGTACATGTACTTGTAGTGTATATGGCTATATGCAATTTAAATAGCAATAAAATATATTTCAAAGTATAATTTTATTTCACTTCTTCACAACTGAAAGCTCATGAAGTCTTCCATTAAATTAAGGTTATATCTTTAATTTATGTGATAAACTATGTCTGTGACAGATCTTTTGACAGTTAAGGTCATCTGTTGTGTGTTGATCCATGTGTTTAATCTGTTTACTGTTAAGTTTATCTTTGTGTGTTGATCCGTGTCTAAAATCAACTGTTGTGTGTTGATCCGTGTCTAAAATCTGTTCAATGTTAAGGTCAACTATTGTGTGTTGATCCATGTGTTTAATCTGTTTACTGTTAAGCTTATCTTTGTGTGTTGATCCGTGTCTAAAATCTGTTCAATGTTAAGGTCATCTGTTGTGTGTTGATCCATGTGTTTAATCTGTTTACTGTTAAGTTTATCTTTGTGTGTTGATCCGTGTCTAAAATAAACTGTTGTGTGTTGATCCGTGTCTAAAATCTGTTCAATGTTAAGGTCATCTGTTGTGTGTTGATCCATGTGTTTAATCTGTTTACTGTTAAGCTTATCTTTGTGTGTTGATCCGTGTCTAAAATCTGTTCAATGTTAAGGTCATCTGTTGTGTGTTGATCCATGTGTTTAATCTGTTTACTGTTAAGTTTATCTTTGTGTGCTGATCCGTGTCTAAAATCTGTTTACTGTCAAGGTCACCTGTTGTGTGTTGATCCGTGTCTAAAATCTGTTCAATGTTAAGGTCATCTGTTGTGTGTTGATCCATGTGTTTAATCTGTTTACTGTTAAGTTTATCTTTGTGTGTTGATCCGTGTCTAAAATCTGTTTACTGTCAAGGTCACCTGTTGTGTGTTGATCCGTGTCTAAAATCTGTTCAATGTTAAGGTCATCTGTTGTGTGTTGATCCATGTGTTTAATCTGTTTACTGTTAAGTTTATCTTTGTGTGCTGATCCGTGTCTAAAATCTGTTTACTGTCAAGGTCACCTGTTGTGTGTTGATCCGTGTCTAAAATCTGTTCAATGTTAAGGTCATCTGTTGTGTGTTGATCCATGTGTTTAATCTGTTTACTGTTAAGTTTATCTTTGTGTGTTGATCCGTGTCTAAAATCTGTTTACTGTCAAGGTCACCTGTTGTGTGTTGATCCGTGTCTAAAATCTGTTCAATGTTAAGGTCATCTGTTGTGTGTTGATCCATGTGTTTAATCTGTTTACTGTTAAGTTTATCTTTGTGTGTTGATCCGTGTCTAAAATCTGTTTACTGTCAAGGTCACCTGTTGTGTGTTGATCCGTGTCTAAAATCTGTTCAATGTTAAGGTCATCTGTTGTGTGTTGATCCATGTGTTTAATCTGTTTACTGTTAAGTTTATCTTTGTGTGTTGATTCGTGTCTAAAATCTGTTTACTGTCAAGGTCACCTGTTGTGTGTTGATCCGTGTCTAAAATCTGTTCAATGTTAAGGTCATCTGTTGTGTGTTGATCCATGTGTTTAATCTGTTTACTGTTAAGTTTATCTTTGTGTGTTGATTCGTGTATAAAATCTGTTTACTGTCAAGGTCACCTGTTGTGTGTTGATCCGTATCTTCTATAATCTGGTTTACTTTTAAGGTCATCTGTTGTGTGTTGATCCGTGTCTAAAATCTGTTTAATGTTAAGGTCACCTGTTGTGTGTTGATCCGTGTCTAAAATCTGTTCAATGTTAAGGTCATCTGTTGTGTGTTGATCCATGTGTTTAATCTGTTTACTGTTAAGTTTATCTTTGTGTGTTGTTCCATGTCTAAAGTCTGTTTAATGTAAAGGTCATCTGTTGTGTGTTGATCAGTGTCTATATTTTTTTTTAATTGATACTGAGAAAAACGTGAAGTTTTGCGTAAAATGAAGATGGCTTCGAAATCTATTGAAGCGTGCAATTTTTTGTCGACGCGGTTTGGAAGGTTTTCATTCTACATTAATTATTATAATCAAAGTTGTATAATCAAAGTTGCTGTTTTAAAGTATCAGCTCCCTCTCTCGAAATATACATGCGAAATTACTAATTATGCATTATTATGCTTCAAAGAAAAATCTCAGACTTCGGTGGTTGTTTCGCACTAAATTTCCTTTCAAGCACCCTTAAATTCTTAAGCTTAGAAAAACAAATACAATAATTGATTCCCCATTTTAATGATGTTTGCGTTGTAATGAAAAAAATGAAGATAAAAATAGTGATCGATCTCAACAAACAAACAAACAAACAAAACAAATCCGCGAACAAGGCATAAAATGTGGATTCCTGATAATTCCAGAAATGGGATCAGGTGTCTAGGAGGAGAAAACATCCACCATGAGCCCTATATATTGATCAGGTAGACGGAATATTCCGTAGTCAAACAAATGTGTGCCCTAAGATTTATAATGTTTTTTAAAAAAAGTCATGAAATTGGCTTAATTATGAGTTGAGTATATGAACGTGATAAATCGTGAAAGAATATAGCATGAAGGAGGCCCATTCTGGAAATATGACGTCATTAAGTTGGTACATTTGCAGGTTTTGAACAAAAAAGCCTCAAAATGACTCATTCCTGGGGTTATTTTACTTAAGAAAACAGTTTCCACAGCCGTCGCCCTCTTTCATTTTTGGATATGTTGTGTAAATTCCTTTGAAAAATCACACTTCTTAAAATCTTTGTGGGCGATGCATGTGCTCTGTATTATCTGAAAGAAAATCCCACTGAAAATTGATGTCTTCTGCAACCTTTTCCAGAAAATACGGTTAAAAATGTACAAGTCCTTGACGTAACAATTAGCATTTAGGAGGTCATATGAGAAAAACAATTTGTACATGTATGTTCTTTCTGCATGGAATTTCAATGCATGATTTTTAATTTCTTACATCACTTTCATATTTAAGAAAAATACTAAGCCAGATCTGTATTGAAACCGTATCTTGTTCTTTAGTATCAAGAACAAAGGCCTAAAAATTTTATTATTAACACAGAATACGACACAATGATAAGTTACATTTGTTAACAAGGTCATTATAGCGACCATAGAATTTACAGAATGCTGACTTTAAATGGTCAAGGTGTATATACCCGTATTTCACTGTATTTCCATAATTTACTCATCTTATTTAATTCTTTATTATATCATAGATGTGCTAAATTTGATGTTTTTACTTGCTCTTCCTCGGAAATCTTACCTTATATTCTTATAATTTTTGAAATTCTCAACGAGTCTTGCAAAATGAAATTTTATACTTACATAGCGTCTCGTTCTTTCTTTATTCTTCATTAGTTACACAAAACGGCTTTTATAAACATGTTTCCAATATTTGAAAATTGTTAATCATGTACTCTTATACCTTAATCATGTATTGTAAAGCTTGTCCCAGGATTTTATCACAAAATGGACGATCACTCGGAAACGAGCTCATCAAGATCAATGAGATTTATAAATATGTCCTCTAGATTAATCGAATGCTATCAAAAAACCAAACCAAAAAAAAAAAAACAAAAACAAAAACAAAACAAAACAACAAAAAACGAACACACAAAACAAAACAAAAGAAACAAAGACAAACAAAACCAAAAGAGAAAACATTTTATTCAAAAATTTACATCATGCAGTTCAATGTAATTTAGGGAAGAATCATTACTTATTTTTCGATGTTTGAAATATTCAATTCCCAACTAAAATCAAGTATCATATACCTCTCACTACCAGTGGATAGGTGTAAACTATCCCATGTCTTATAATACTTTGGAATCTCAGGGAAAAAAAACCAGGGAGTTTAAAAAAATTCGAAAATTGCTTTAACAACTGACGAGAATACGTCTGCAGGTAATAAGATCTCTATATTTAAAATAAGGATAAAAAATATTAGTTGTAATAAATTTGAAAATGCATGTAATGTTTTCGACTTTTTAGATAAAATAAATATGGTTAGAGACTTTAAATTGTCGTCCTTCATAACGAGATTAATTTCCTTACGGAATACATCACTCTATCAGCACAGTTTAACATTAAATTTTTCATCATTATATAAAATCACTTCCTAGAACTGTTTCCGCATTGTAAGAAATCGACCTATGAGCATACGGAAATCTAAAACAGAAAAAAAGGAAACAACATTTTAGGTTATGAATAAATATACACCTTAATGCACAATGAAATTTTATGGCCGCATATCGAGTGTCCCAATAATGTGTTCGAAATTTAATAATCATTTCTCAACCGCTTGAAATCAATTAATATATATCATCCTTCTAGCGCACCTTTTGCGGATTTGGAAATTTGTTGTAACTATGATTTATTTTAATGTCATATCATATGAATGTTAATAAACATTTAAAAACACTGTAGAAAACTACATTTTGAGCGAGTCTTTCCATGCACCAGTGAAACTTAAGCAACTATATAATGAACATCTACTTCCTTTTTCAAAGTGTGTGCTCATTGCTATCTGGTATATGTATCCCTACTCGAGAGCTATATCTGTACAACGAACTATCACTTCCTTGACCTTTGACGCAGGGATATCATGTGATATAGTCAATGACTGAAGAGCTTCACACTCACAGCGGAGATGGCGGTAGGAATGAGGACACTGGTCCTTGCTCTGTTTCTGTCTTGTGGTGTTTATGCCTCGACATTAGAAGGTAAATAATTTCATTTTTTTTTTCATTATTTAAAAGCTGTTAATAAATACCAGATTTGAAGAAGGAAGTTTTCAAAACCATATTAATTTTACAAAGCATATATACCGGTATTTCAAAACAAAAAAGATGTAACTAAATTTAATTTTAAAATATATATATATATATATATATATATATATATATATATATATATATATATATATATATATATATATATATATATATATATATATATATATATCAAATAGCATAGCCACACTTCATAATCAAGGATATGATATTCCGCGGTATAGTGACACATCGGTGTTCTGATCGGTTAGAACTACTCCTTGTAGAAAATAATCACCTTCCTTGCTTCCTTGTACAAAATTTATTTTTTAAGCCCAGGAGCAAGTACCATTATACGACATTATTACCTGGTTTCTTTCTAAGGTATTTAAGATGCGGAGTGTATACTTTTACAAGATAACATTAACTTTAATGTACATGCAGTAAATTTAACTGATACCTAATATCAATGCTGAGCAAAATACCTTGTCTTAAAAGGCAAATATCTAGTCCTATATTACACAATGCTGAGTGAAGGAAGACCTATATAACATAAGGCTGCAGGCCCGTGGGAAGCAATTACACTTTAAGGGGGCACAACCATACATTTTCAGTTGGGGGGGGGGGAACACTATCAACTATACCAAAAATTCCTTGACAAGCAAAAAAAGGTCATCAGACGTTATTATTGAGGGGAAACAAGTATATAGTAGCTATGTTTTCTATAGTATTCTATATATCAGCAAAATTATTGGGGGCACACCCACCCCCCACCCCCGTTCCTACGGCCATGGGCTGAGCAAAATAATTAGTCAACAGCTAAAACTGGTCCTCTTCCAGCGTGTCTGTAATCAGACAATTTCAAATTCTTTCAAAAAATCTATAAAAAGCCTTTTTGAAACTAATGAGTCGCGGTCACTACAGATTTCAGAGCTGTTCACCCTGCCCTATACAATATCCGTTTTGTCAGCATGCATCATGCATAAATGCAATCCAAATATTTATCAGTGTAATTAACGTTTTTTTTTTAGTGAATCCCTATTATTAATTGCTAAAATATATATATGACTTACAAAGAGTTAAAATTCGGAGTATACCCCCAGAAGCGTAATTTTCAGAGACCACTCTGTATTTTCAAACATAAATCCGGGATAAATATGGAATTTCCGTACGAGTAAACACCTCTGAGGTTTGTTCAATTTCCTCAAAAAATAGTATTTCTATCAATTCCCAAGTAAAAACGTGACTGAAAATACCTTGTTTCCTGCTTGTTTTTGGTTGTCCACTTTTGAAACCACAATCTGTACGTGTACATCTTTCAATCTTCTATTCTATTTTAGTTGTGAGAGCTCTTGTCTGTCTTTGACTCATTGAGACCCAATTAAATAGAGGTTCATTCAACCGCAAATAGCAAGAAGTATTCAAGGGACTTGAATTACGGAAACTATCCAAGGGCAAAAATTTACTGAACGACCGTCTTACGCCATATTTACCCTTGTATTCTGAAGAAATTTGAGTATATCAGAAAATTACCTATGTCAGTTAATGTCAAGATAAAGAAATGATTTATAACATTTATTTTAAAAATCTTCTGTTTTAGAGGCTAAAAATCTAACCACGATGTCAACAACAGGCTCTTTTAATGTAACAACACAGCCGACGACTCACAACTTAACAACTAAAAATCACAACACAACAACACAAACAACCCCTCAAAATGTGACTACTGAACCAACAACCCACAACATGACAACTGAACCCACAACCCGTATGACAACTGAACCAACAACGCACAATATGACAAGTGAACCAACAACCCTCAACGTGACAACACAACTGCCACATAATATGACAACTGAACCAGCTCACAATATGACAACAGAACCGCCACACAACACGACAACTGAACCGCCACACAACACCACAACAGAACCGCCACACAACACCACAACAGAACCGCCACACAACACCACAACGGAACCCTCGAACATGACAACCGCTGAACCAGCCAATATGACGACGCCCTTGTCGAATATGACAACCATGTCAATTCCTGTGACGTCGGAATCAACTATGACATCACATCCCACTCAGAAACCAACTCCCTCACCGAGTAAGAGTAAATTCAGCGCGGGGTCCTTTGTCGGGGGCATAGCCCTTGGCATTGCAATAGTTATTATCGCAGTAGGCGGAATATATTGTTATAGCAGAAGAAGGAAACGAAGTAATGAGCTGGGTAGCGATATCCAATACAAAACTATGTCCGAATGATACATGATTGTATTAGCTTGTAGCATGTTCATAAATATGAGAGAGAGAGAGAGAGAGAGAGAGAGAGAGAGAGCATCTTCTTAATTGAGCTTCTGGCATGTTTGAAAATACTTGGCCATGTACTCTTAAAAAGAAGCCTTTTTATAATTCATATACTAATATAGTGTTGATGCAGGATATTGTAATGCTCAATTATTATGTTAAATATGAAACAAACAAAGCCGCATGTACATGTACGCATGCATCGGTTTTCATTTTTAAATTGATACTTTACTTTCCCCCTTTTGCTTTGAACATATTTTGTATCGTATGCATCCTATCCTATCTCCATTAACAAATAAAATTGGAATACAAGTTTTACTCTTTAGGTCTTAACTCACATTTACTTACAGAACTTTGCATGCGTGGCCCTCCATTCATTTAATCAAATCATTTACAATGTACTTCATCATTTCTGCCTTTCTTAAATAGAGGTAACCGTTGCAAGTGTATATTGTTTCTGTTTTGTTTTGCTATTAAATTAATTTTAACATACATACTATATATTTTTTTTTTAATTTTATACATGTTTGAATAAATTTTCATGTTTATTCGATGTTTTGTTAAGTTTTGTGGCGAACTAGCAATATTCAGTCCCTCAGATATAATCTAAAGAAAGAAGATGGACCAACAAGCCGAGAAAAAGGCCTATGTTTGAACAAATTAGAACGAGAAAAATTAAATCTCAATTATAACACAATTTTCTTTCGTATTTCAGATAAAACTGATGTATACTTAATGTTAATTCTTCACAATTTGTCACAATCTCTCGTTAAAATTATTCGAAAAGCATTCACACACCATAGAGGGCAGAAATAATTTCTTCATACTATATATTCTCTATATAAGTGTGTCTTTGCTTCATTTCTCCAAAGTCTGTTTGTATATATATATATATATATATATATATATATATATATATATATATATATATATATATATATATATATATATATATATATATATATATATATTACTTAACAAATGAAAAAGGTGAAGAAAAAAATCTACAAACAATACAAATTTGTGAACAGAACATAAAACACGGACCCCCAGATACACATTGTTCAAATAGTGTAATACAAGGGAAATATTTTATAAAAAATATTAGGAGAGAAAAATATATTTATAACAGCTGCTGTCTATGGACAGGCCCGTAGGAAGCAATTTTAGTTTGGGGGGGGGAGGGGGCACAGCCATACATTTTCAGTTGGGGGCACTATCAACTACCAAAAATTCCTTGACAAGCAAAAAAAGGTCATCAGACGTTTTTATTGAGGGGGCACAAGCTAGAAGTAGCTAAATTTTCTACAGTCATCTATATATCGGCAAAATTATTGCCCCCCCCCCCCCCGGTTCCGTCGGCCATGATGGAGTATACATGTTAATGTGTAAAGTAAGAAAGATTATCCATGAACAAAACTCCATAACTATTCACTATGCTATTCAACACGATTAACAAAATTTTCTTTATCATGATTTAATCTTGAAAAAAATTGTATAATGATATAATACAAAGATGATGCATTTAACGAAAACGGTATCACAGAAGAATAGAGACCCGGGGTTTTTGCCCCGAAATGTCTTAATGCATTAATGTCAGATATTAACAACAGTGGCACCCCCTGTTAATTCTTATTGAGGAGATTCCTCCTCAGATGTCCCTCCTCAGAACTGGAACTTGAGGACACCGCAGTCTGTGATCTTGATGTCTTTCCTTGGCCGCTCATTCATCGTCTCCTGTTCTTCCATTTTCTTAAGAGTCTGTGTGCCTTCAATTACTTGCCTTCAAAATTGATAAAGGAAAATACGTTACATGTGCCTCAAAAATGTTCGAAAATACGTCATATGTGCCTCAAAAATGTTTTGTTTGTTTGTTTGTTATTTAAAGTCCCTCTCGAGAATTTTTCACTCATATGGAGACGCCACCACTTGCCGGTGGAGAGCTGCAAATTTTGACCTATACTCGGCACTTAGCCATTGAGCAGTGAGGGATCTTTTTCGTGCCAGCACCTACTGCGACACGGGATCTCGGTTTATACGGTCTCATCCGAAGGACCGGTCTCCACGTCCCACAGTGGGATTCGAACCCGCTACGTAAGGATCAACTCCTTACTCCGCGACTCGAGAGCAGACGCTCTACCACTGCGCCAAGCAGGCGACCCTCAGAAATGTTAAAAATACGTCACACGTGCCTCAAAAGTTAATGTACGCAAATACGTACGTCACATGTGCCTCAAAAGTTTTGTACAAAATTACGTCACAGTCGCTTCTATATTTAGGATTTATGATTACGTACAGAGTTTGGTGCTTCTACATTAATAAACAAAATTAAGACACAGGTGCTTCTTACTCATCTGATCACATCAAAGTCAATTTCTTTTATTTTCTTATAATAATTATACATTCATATATGCATTGCAATTTTTAAGAGTATGTGATTTTTTTTTTACTGAAGCAATAGGTTGTGAAGCAAAGAAGTTTACTATCTTGATTTGAGTTCTTGACTTACCCAAAAGCTACATATTTAGTATCCATCCATTGAGTGGGTTCTAATGTGATGTAGAATTGAGAGCCGTTCGTGTGGCGCCCTTTGTTGGCCATCCCTACCATACCACGCCTAGAGTGGGGCACTGCGAAGTTCTCATCTGGAAAAAAGGCTTAGTTTTACAATGTTTACAAACTTGACAACGGTACAAGGGAAAAAGTCTAATTATTGTAAGGTGCTTATAAATTTCTTATATTTTAAATAAACAGGAAATTCTTTTTCATAGCAGAGATATTTTTTAAATAAAAAATATCAATCCAGAATTTTAAAAAAAATTAAGCAAATTAGGATTTTATGAAATTGTGTTGATTTGCGCAGTTCTTTTTAAATTTAAAGATTAATTGAGCAGTATACATGTAATACTTATAAAATTAAATTATCTTATTCAAGACAATGCTTTTACAAAATCTGTGTACATGTATTTTTAGATCATCTCCAACCTTTGAAAAGTCAAAGTATTCGACTTCTTTTTGTTTGTAATGCGTCATTAGTCATTTCTCAACAAATTTTAGCTCTAAAATATTTTTAGATTCTGTAAAAATTCAGCACAATTTAAAACAAGAGGCCCATGGGCCACATCGCTCACCTGAGCACATTGGCTAGGCAAAAGCACAAAAGCACAAATCAGTTCAGTATTGAAAGGGTTACCGGGGGGGAGGGGGGGATACCTGATGATGCTTCCATGTCAATATAACAAATGGCTTTGTTGTACTTGAGTAAATTTTGAAAAATTTTTCCCATATAATCCTTTGTAAAAATTTGATCCCCCATTGTGGCTCCTCCCTATCCCAGAGGTCAATATTTGAAAATTTGAATCTACACTACCTGAGGATGCTTCCATTTCAATATGACTAAACATAGCTTTTCTGTTCTTGAGAAGAAATATTTTTTCTGCATGTTCTTATGTAAAACTTTCAATCCCCCATTGGGCCCCACCCTACCCCAGGGGTCATCATTTGAACGAATTTGAATTTACACTATCTGAGGATGCTTCCATATCAAAATGACTAAACATGATTTTCAGTTCTTGAGAAGAGGATATTTTCCTATATGTTCCTATGTAAAATTTTCGACCCCCCATTGTGGCCCATCCCTATCCCCGGGGGGTCATCATTTTAACAAACTTGAATTTACACTACCTGAGGATGCTTCCATATCAAAATGACTAATCATGGCTTTACAGTTCTTCATCAGAAGATATTTACCTATATATTTCTATTTAAGACTTTGATCCTCCATTGTGGCCCCGCCCTACCCCAGGGGGTCATGATTTGAACAATCTTGAATTTACACAACCTGAGGATACTTCCAAATAAATATGATCAATCAGGGCTTTGCTGTTCCTGAGAAGAAGATTTTTAAAATTTTTCCTATATATTTCTATGTAAAACTTTGATCCTCCATTGTGGCCCCGCCCTACACCAAGGGGTCATGATTTGAAAAAATTTGAATTTTTACAACCTGAGGATGCTTCCACATAAATATGACCAATCAAGGCTTTGCTGTTCCTGAGAAGAAGATTTTTTAAAGATTTTTCCTATATATTTCTATGTAAAACTTTGATCCTCCATTGTGGCCCCGCCCTACCCTCGGGGGTCATGATTTGAACAAATTTGAATTTTTACTACCTGAGGATGCTTCCATATAAATATGACTAATCAGGGCTTTGCTGTTCTTGAGAAGAAGATTTTTTAAAGATTTTTCCTATACATTTCTATGTAAAACTTTGATCCTCCATTGTGGCCCTGCCCTACCCTCGGGGGTCATGATTTGAACAAACTTGAATCTTCACTACTTGAGGATGCTTCCATATAAATATGACTCATCATGGCTTTGCTGTTCTTGAGAAGAAGATTTTTAAAGGTTTTTCCTATTTATTTCTATGTAAAACTTTGATCCTCAATTGTGGCCCCGCCCTACCCCCGGGTGTCATGATTTGAACAAACTTGAATCTACACTACCTGAGGATGCTTTCATATAAATATGACCAATTAGGGCTTTGCTGTTCTTGAGAAGAAGATTTTTAAAGATTTTTCCTATATATTTCTATGTAAAACTTTGATCCTCCATTGTGGCCCCGCCCTACCCCCGGGGGTCATGATTTGAACAAATTTGAATTTTTACTACCTGAGCATGCTTCTATATAAATATGACTCATCATGGCTTTGCTGTTCTTGAGAAGAAGATTTTTAAAGGTTTTTCCTATATATTTCTATGTAAAACTTTGATCCTCCATTGTGGCCCCACCCTACCCCCGGGGGTCATGATTTGAACAAACTTGAATCTACACTACCTGAGAATGCTTCCACATGAGTTTCATCTTCCCTGGCTCTGTTGTTCTTGACAAGAAGATTTTTAAAAGATGCTATTAATTTTTCACTAATTCTTTATTATCTCCCCTTGAAAGAGGGCATGGCCCTTCATTTGAACAAACCTGAATCCCCTTCACCCAAGGATACTTTGTGGCAAGTTTGGTTGAAATCGGCTCAGTGGTTCTTGAGAAGAAGATGAAAATGTGAAAAGTTTACGACAACAACGACGCCGACGACGCCGACGCCGACAGACAACGGACAAATTTTGATCAGAAAAGCTCACTTGAGCCTTTGGCTCAGGTGAGCTAAAAAAAGAATATTCAAGCACTGAAAAATTTACACACAAAACCGAAATTCGAATGACACTACAAGACTTGACGAATAACTTGGCATTTCTATGTTTTGTACCAAATTCAATAACCTAATTGATTTGGAGTACTGCGTCGGTGAAATTCAGGTTGAGCTGGGAATCGGGAAGACCTTTGAAATCAAAAACTTAACAACAGCAGCTGGGGAGATATCTACTCTGTACCACACAGCGATTTTATTTTTATCAACATCATAATTGTTTCGGAGAACTATGACATCAATTTAAGTAGTCGATACAGAACATTTAGTGAAACATCAGGAAAAACTTTTTATTAAATCAAAACTTAACAAAATCTGCTAGGAATATATAAGAAGGAAAGTCGTACCTTCAAACACGTATCCAAATATAGACTCCCCGCCGTTCCCTCTTCCGTGATAAATGTCTGAAAATGGATAACAAGTTATTTCTGTGCGTTTCCATTACAAATGTACCAGCTCCTTATAAATGTACATGTATCAGCATTTAATTTCCTGGTCCAAAAATCACGCATCAAAATAAATCAAGCAAACGCTCAAAACAGTTCACCAGATTTAAAATAAATGCATATTTAATGATTTGATTTACTAATAAATACTTCACAATTTTTCAACGACATAGTTACTAATAATTTAATTGTACTTTCAGGATGTCAAACTTTCTTTTTATGTTTCATAATATAAATCAGTTAATATTGAAGAAATTTAAATATTTATTGTAACAATGTTACGACTTGTAAAGAGGCAAAACTTGGTATTTCTAAACACACTAGTTTTGGGTCAATAATTAATGTGGACCCACAATTACAGAATCTGGATGTTTTCAATGCACTACTTACATGAAATCAAACCAGATAAATAGAACTTATAAGGATAAGTAATCTATACATTTGTTTTCTTATGTTCATCCAGTTTGTTAAAACGTTGAGTAATTGTTTTTTAAGAGGAGAGAATGTGTACAGAATACAGTACATCACATCAATTCCTTGAAGAGAGTAATTATTATAGAAAATCACATGTATTGCCATCATCTATGTAGTGGTCAGTATGTGATTATGAATGAATTATGAATTACCTCTTCTTTGGATCCAACCCTTTCCCACAATTCTGTGGAAAGCTTGTTTGGATAAATTAGACTTTCAGTTAGGTAACTTATGTGGTACAACTGTATGATTGGAATTATAACCTACCACCCCCTTAAATCCACCCCTTTTGGACAGTTCTGTGGGACAGTGTGATGAGATAATGTAGTTTGAAGTCAATATGACCTACCACCCCCTTGGATCCACCCCTTTCTGACAATTCTTTGGAACACTGTGTTGAGATAATAAAGTGTGTAGTTCGATTCTCACAGTATAACTTACCGTCCCCTTGCATCCACCAATTTCTAACAATTCTGTAGAACAGTGTTTTGAGATAATGTCATGTATAGTCAATATGACTTACCATCCCTTTGGATCCACCCCTTTTGACAATTCTGTAGAACAGTCTGTTGAGATAGTGTTAAGTGTGTATTTGGATTTTAACACTATGACTTCCTACACCTTGGATCCTTCCTTCTCTAACAATTCTATGGAACATTGTGTAAAGATAATGCAGTGTATAGTCTGACCATATGACTTACCGCCCCCTTGGATCCACCCCTTTCTGACAATTCTGTGGAAAAATGTGTTGAGATAATGTAGTGTGTAATCCGACTCAGATTTTCCTTTTTCTCCTGTACACAGCGCCTTAAAATTCTCACACGTCCGAGGAACAATGTCTGAGAATAACTACAAATAAACAATTAATCCAAAATAAATTAAAAGTTACGTGTTTATCAGTAGAGGTTGTTACTTTTGCATATATACATCTAACAGCAATAGATTGAGTATTCTGGTCCATCAAAGGCTAATTAGCAAATACTGCTTGATGTAAGTAGGACTTAGTTTCTGATTGGTATTTTGTTTGACATTTTTAAAAAATGATTTATTCATTGTATTAGGTTTGTCTAAAATGATTAAGAATGATTCACAAACATTCAAGTTAATTTTTTCAACGTGTTGACAGCTATTATTTACCTCAATAACAAGCCTGCCCGCTGGTTCTCCTCCGATAGAAATGTCTAGGTAAACATAATCATGCTGAAAACACACAAAAAATTAAACTTAAAGCAAAAAGTTAAAATGATGCAACAAATGCTAACATTTAAGATTACTTGAGATGAAATAAGAACTTCTCAAAAGCTGAGATGTGTGTAACATTATGCATGTTATTTTTTTTAACTATGAGATTTGTTGTATTATTTTCTTTTTACTTTATTGTAATATACTTTGAGAAAATGGCTATGATTACAATTTCAGAACTACTTCTACACATAATTCAGATATGCATGATGGAAATGCAGACAATTGACATCTTATAGCACTTGTATCTTGCGAGTTTATTTTGAGATCATAATGTTTTACGTTTTTAGAGCTGAGATGTGTGAGATAGGCCTCCTCCATTAGAGTTTCGTATAGCGGTAAGGGACGGAACTCTTCAAAATTAAAGTTGTCCTCGGCCCAGATAACAAAATCATCTGGTCCTCCTCCTCCTATGAGGACACCATTACTGAAGCAGATTGCCTTCTCCTCAAATGTCCATGTCTCACCGCGTAATTCCTTAAAATACACATATAATATAGAAGTGGAAAATTCATGAGATGACAGCACTATGTAATGTTTAAGCATGTTAAATGTACCTGCATGTACATTAATTTCTCCTACTTTTTGATTGTCAAAATTATAGAAAATTAATTCAATGTGTGCAATATCCTACTGTAAAACCCCTTTTTAACAGATAAAAATTCCATAGATTTCTCTCAATGTACATGTACATAGGGATTCGCCATTATAAATAATAATTATATACTGTATGTTTTAATTATATTAATTGTAATAAAAAGTTTGCAAAATGAGACACAAGGACTTGTTACAATATTTTTAAGTATTTTAAAATAAATACGTATATAATAATTATAATACTCAAATTATTGTCACAAATCTCAGTGACTGACTGACTCATGAGACTCACTTTTTTCTTTGCATCAATGAAAAGATCCCACTCAAACTCCAGCATTCCATGTATGACTGCATCTTTGAATATTTTAGGACTTTTCTTTATAAGATCCTTGAAAAAAATATTTGTGAAGAAACAGTCAAACAAAAAAATAAATTCGTTGCACTAAGTGACTAATTAATTTGCTAAAGCACACATATTTTAGCATTCAAATTCGAGACACTGGCAGTTATAACTTTAGCAAACGTTTTACTAAAATCTTATTTTGAAACCATAATCTACTGATAACTACCTCTGCACAAAATCTAGCTCGCTGGAAGTTGACGTCGTTCAACAATCCATAAATTTCTAGTCTCTGAACTTCTTTACCAGACATGATTGCTATTGTTTGCCTTGGAAACCTTGTTTTCTTCCGGTAAATTTAAAAGTTTGCAGAATCTCGAGCCCGATCTTTAATAAAATCTCTAAAACGATTTGCCTCCCTTTCATTTTAATTACATGTACAATATTATCATAGATGAATTACAAAGGGAAAGAAGAAAAAATAAATAAACGCAAACAAATAAGCTCAAAATAAGGAAATAGCGCCACTGTATTTCTTTTTTCAGTACGTTAAGCCGGAAATACAATTTATATAAACATGCTAGGAAAACATAAATGCTATTAAGTCAAATTTTCCTGCAAATATTAAATTTTCAGCTGAAATTATATCAGTCAATGATAATACCAATTATCACATATGGATATGAAGTATGGATAACTGACTTCAAAAGTGATTTAATGTCTTCAGACCAATTCCCTTAAAATTCTGAAAAAACAAAACACTTAATATTTAAAGACACACCAGGAGTACATAGAAAGGCACCAAATCTTGCTGTTTTATGTGAATGAGTCGTTTTCCCTTGTACTTTTTATGTTATGAATATATGTTTTAATATTATGAGACTGAAGGAAATGGAATGCAAACATGATTATTATAATTATTTAGTGATTTCTGCATTTAACGAAGACAGAAATCTTGTATCTAGAATATCTTGGCAAAGAAAACTTCATTGTCTTCATTACTAAAATTAAATATTACTTCTTTGGATATTTCTCATACAACCTTGAAAAACAAATTACAAGAGCATTACCAAAACAAGATACATGAACAACTGAAAAATATAAGCAAATCAGACTCTGGAAAGTTAGCTTTTTATAGTAAAATTATGAATCAAAATAAATGAAGAGTTATTTAAAGCTACCTTTGATAAAAAGTGACAACAGAAGAGAAAGTCAGCAATGCATTTATATATACATTTGTACATTTTTATACATATACATGTACATTTGTCACTTTGTGTATACATGTATTAATCGTGTTAATTTGTTTTATGTTATTAATGTTCATGACTTTACCGACATGGTAATAATATTGTCCATAAAGTGAATTGAATAAATTGACTCAAGTACATGTTTGTTCACGTCGTTTATATGCATTCTTTCTATTAAATTTTATGCTACCTTCTTTCAGTTTCTTCTAAATAAACAACCTTTAATTAAGAGACAGGCGCGGATCCAGGAATTTCTTCCAGGGGGGGGGGGGGAGGAGTTCCACCCCAGTCAAAAAATTTCCAACACAGAAATTTTTGAAAAAGGAGAGTAAAGTCCATTCCATAACGTGAAACAAAAAAACCTGGTGGTAGTGGTGGAGGTCCATGTTTTTTTAGTTGGGGGGGGGGGGGTGTCCAAAGTCTTTTTAATTTGCTGCAGTACAACTTTTGATAACTCTGCAAATTCCGGAGGGGGGGGCAGACCCGCCGACTCCCTTCCCTCTAGATCCGCGCATGAGACATCTTTGTATACTTAAAGCAAGTATATACTGAGAAATATATACACTGTATGATGCAAGTATAAATTACAAAATTTGAATACAGTCATCTAAATTTCCATCGTCGGAAACCCACGGTCGATCACGCTTCGTTCTAGCTGCAAATTAAAAAATAAATTATGATACGACCAGAGAGCTATGTATAATGTACCACCCATTCAAAAAGTGTATATTTAACATGTTCAATGCGTTCAAATAGTGCAGCTGTTATCCTTATTAACATAATTATTTTTTTATGCCACTTCCACAACAAAACTGTATGTACAAGTCATGCACCAAATTTGTCTTACCCGGCACCCAAAATGGCAGTATCAATAGGCGAAATTTTCGATTGTCTCAATTTCAGGGTCAGAGCCCAGGGGTGCTATTAACACTAGAAGGGTTTTGGGGGGAATGTTTTGTTGAAGAAGTAGTAAGAGAATGTTAGGAACACACGGTTAGTAATATTTTGATACGGAGAAATAAATCGAGAAATAGCGCACTTTAATGTGTACAGTGTTTTCAATGGGTGGCACTGTAGCACTCTGGTCGTCCATCACAATTTTTTCCTACCAGGGAGCTACAGATCTGCAGCTAGATTTGTTCCCCTCTCCATCACCGGGTTTCCGACGATGCTAAATTTCAGGTTTTATAAAACGAGTTTAATTCATAGGGATTTCCAGCAACCAACCACCTAAATAAATTGGGGGGAAAAAGTTATCTAAAATCAATTTATTTCTAAAAATATACTTTTCAGAAATTTATTAAGGGCTTTAAGAACTAAATATAGCTTCCTTTATATTAAAACTGGTGGGACGTGGAGCGAAGAATTTACGACAATAATGTGCTAGACATTATATATATCACGTAAAGATGAAAGGAAAGAAGAAATACAGATGGTGTCCTTTAATTTACTGATGTCAACATCAAATTCTGCTCCCTGTTTTTCTTGTCGGAACACAATGCTGATCGCGACATTCTTTATTGGGTATTCACAGACACTTAACATTAAATTTATTCCCCATACATCCCTTAATATTGAAAGCCCCTACCTAGTATATCAAAGGCTTTTGACTTTATATTGTTTTCTTATCACAAAATATATTTACACCCCCAACTTAATAAATCACAGTGATTATGTATAAGGTGTACATGTTGTATATAACTAAAGGTGTAAGATTATAATTTTTGTCAGTGTGATAAGTTAACCGGTAATAACTCGGAAAAATGTTTGGCAATAAAAACCAGAGATCAATACAAGACCCAGACAAAACTGAAGCCAAATTTCACCTCTTGGCAGAAAAAAGAAATTCATTTACAGGTCCGTAGGAAGCATTTTCAGTTGAGGGGGCACTATCAAAAATTTCCCGACAAGCAAAACAAAAAAAATAAATAAATTAATAAATAAATAAATGAATGGAAAAAAAAAGGTCATCAACTACCAAAAATTCCTTAACAAGCAAAAAAAAAAAAAAAAAACAAAAACAAAACAAAAAAAAAAAAAAAAAAAAAAAAAAAAGGTCATCAGACGTTTTTATTGAGGGGGCACAAGCATATAGTATCAAAGTTTACTATAGTAATCTATATATCGGCAAGATTACTGCCCCCCCCCCCCCCCGGTTCCTACGGCCATGATTTATCACCTCCTCTGTACTGAAGCTGAATTATTTTTAATTCCTATGATAATTAAAAGATACTGGCCAGGGAAATTCTTCTATGAAATGAACTGAAGACTTGGCCAAGCGTTTAGCTATTATACTATTACGTGGACATAAATTTATGTACATATCAGCTCTAGCTGTGCTCTTGTGTGCAGTATTTACAGAGTTTGTTTATCTAAAATCAAATTTGAGTACAGTCAAACCTCGATGTCCAGAACTACATGTAACACTGATGGTCGTATTGAAAATTCATCGTTCGAGACATCAGAGAGGTCGAAATTAAAACTCGTATATATTGGTGATAATGTCGGAGGTGTCGACTTCAGATATTTAGGCATATTGTTTTTTGGGATCCTTCAGTTCGTCGAGACACCGATATTGATAATTCGGTAAGAATAGTTCACTGCACGTCCTCATGCAGTAATAGGACATTTTGATTTGAATTACGCCAGTATATGTGCATGTTCTTTGAACAGACCGTCTTGATAAAACTGCCAATTAATTAATATGTACTTTGAATTTACATAAATTATGAAACCAATACACAGATCTACAAGTTGTATCCCCCCTCCCAGTGTAAGTACATGAGTACATGAGAAAACACTTTCCTAAGTCAATTCAAGTTCCTTCAGATGGTTTACTCTTCTTATCGTTTTAAGAGAAATCCGTGTTTCCTGGGAGTGATCCAAGGTCAAATTTTTGTTACTTTTACAAAGAAATCTGAAAATTCCATCGGGAGTCCGGACCCCCCCCCCCCCTTCCAATGTATTACAACCTACTATTGGAATGTCTGCATGCCTTTCATTGTCTAAATTTTTCATAAACACATGACATGTGAAAACAACAAGATTTATTCAGCAGGCGTATTTTTGAAGGGCAGCATATATACATTGTATGATATTAGTTAATCGGAAGCTAATTGTTGATGAACCTCGCTACAACTAATTAATAATATCATAATCCACTACAAGTCATACTGTGCGTAAATTAACCATCCACATATGTGGATTAATTTCCCTCAACGTGATGAGAGTTATACAACGTTCTTAACCTCAGTTAACCTGGATTAATTTAAATATATATAGTACAACAGTCGAGAGAGAGAGAGAGAGAGAGAGAGAGAGAGAGAGGAGAATTATAGTATAAAATACACGTTTTGATAGATTTCATGCTCGATCAATGCAAAGTTAACGATACACTATATATTATTCATATACAACTACATGAACATTAGATTTTTTTTGTCTGAATCAGCTAATTCAAACATAACAGAAACATAAAAAATGATGAATATCTTCAAATTGATCACATGCGACTGAACACACGAAATTTAATTATTCATGAAAAAAAGTGTAGGATGTGTGTGGGGGAGCAGGCGTGACAAACAGCCCACCTGTATATGTGACACAAATTTTGACTACTCAACATATTTTAAGATTCTTTGAAGGCGCCACTAAATTTCACATGTACCATAAAAATGAACACTATTCAATGATAACATATTTATTATTGGTTCTGTGTGAAAACAACGAGTAATATTATTCCATTCATACAACATCTGAATAAAAATCCGGTTCTGTCATAGCATAATAAAAATAACAAGGAGTGATTCAGCTCAAAATCAAGGTAAAACAAAGGACACAATGTAATCTGTCAATATCAAGGCGCGGATCTTCAAATTTTCTTTTAGATAGTGCGTATTGTTTCATCTTTTAATACACGATCGAATCGACCATGCTGCAATACTACAAAATGCATGAATATATACATGTATATGATATATTTAATTTAAAAATCATGAACACAAAACTACTTTGTAAATAAAGTAAATACACGTTAACACTGAAAATCATTACACAAAAAATGAGAGTATGACCACTGAACAAACAACATATTTAACAATAAATTGAAACGAAAAACATCGTACAATAATATTCTTGAAATCATGAAAAAATATTCCCTCTAATTTCACAACAAAAAAATACCGATTAGAGTTCGTTTCTGGAGATCGTTTTGAGACATATCTAACTAAAGTAAATGTGTTATGCTTAAGATACGAAAAATGAAGATAAAATTAACAATTTAAAAATCCGAGACATTAAAAAAAAATCTTGTAAACAGGACTAACTGCATTCACATGAAAAACACAGTATACATACATATGTGCATACTATATTATTCACATAAAAAAAGCAGACTTGTCTGAATATAGGATTGTGCGAGTGAAAGTACGCAGCACCAGTAAGGTGAATATCGCCGGACTAACTTCTGAATAAGTTACATAATCATCATCAGGCAATAAAACGCCTAAAAAGTGTCTTTCTACGACATATCACTGAGGATCTTATTGTTCCGTAACAATTACCCCCAGACTAAAGTCCTAAGGACAGCGCGTTGTGCACAGTATGCACCTCTATTAAATGGCAACAACACAAACAATAACATTTTCACAAAATCACACAATATCACAATTCGCTTTGAATATTATCCGAGATAATCCCTCTTACACCCATGTCATATAATCCGTATAATCCTATGTAAACAATCAGCTTTGAGGTATCTTCAGAGGGTATTACAGTATCATATAACCCCTTATCCTTGGGTGTACAGTGTTTTATGTTGTTTCACTTTATGTCACTAATCCATAAATCTTAAAAAGACAGGATTACTAAACAATTTCAGATTTAATCACTGAAAAGTATTATACCCTCCTGTCTGTAATAAATAAAGTTACACATAACATGTATATATTTACATTTGATATGAGTGACTATGACCTTGTCAGGTCTTTTCGTCACACTACCCACATCTTCTCTATACCACCGTCTCTCCCACATTATATTCCACAGTGTTACTTTCCTTTATGTGATATAGTCTACCCGTATCTTGTACTTGCTTCTGAGCGATCCTCACCAAATTCTGCTCCTCCCTCCGCACCAGCCTCTTTATCATGGCGGCTGTAGAGCTAAAAGTAAACAAGTCTGCCCGCTCCTTCACGCTGATATTATGGTCAATCTCAATGACACTTTTGCCCTGTAGAGATTCTATAGGGGCATTGTTACTGGTGACCACCTTTCCCACCTCTGCCAAGGCGTTTTCCGGCGAGCCTTTGAGGTTATTATTAGTGATGGCGGGGAAATCTTGAGGACGCTGGTGAATTTCTTTGTAAGTGCACGGGACACAGACACAAGAGGAATTTACGACACTGTAAAATGACGTTACGATACTTCCGGTGGAGAGCCGGTAGAAGTAATGATCAATTGAGCTTGGACGCATGTGTTGGACGCGGAGTTGGTTGTACTCCTGCGTCACGGAGAGGGTTCCGTGGTTCTCCCCGCACATACTACAGGGACAGGTGGTGTAAGACAGACCTACAGATTTGGCCTCCACTTTCTCATCTTTTAGCCTCCTCAATGAATAGTCAACCCCATTGAACTTTTCCACCATTTGGTCATAACTGGACATCAGTTTTATATGCTGTGAATCGTCGTCTTCTGTTCCACCGCCGGTGGATTCCGTTAAGTTGAACGAATCCGACTCCTTATTACAGACCGGACATTCCCAGATGGAACCCCGCCGAGGGACCAAGTGGTTTCGGATACATTTATGACACAGGATGTGTCCACAAGCAAATGTATCGGGGGCACTGGACACTTCAACTGTCCTGTCATACTCAGATTGTAACCCCAGGTCCTTCACGCGCTGACCCCCCACGCTGACGTCATAGAGCCTGACGGGAGGCATGTCCACGTAACGTCACTCACAAGGACAAATTCTCTTCACGTCATATCCACTTCTTAATTGAGAAAAATCTGAAACACAGTATCAAAAACATTCATAAACATCCTTGGCATGAGGAACTCCTACGACTGAAGTGATCTCTTCGTCAGAGTCTAGAGCTATCGATCCACAGAGGCAAACAGATTGTACATATATAGATCTCTACATAAAATTCACACAGACCTTACGTAATACTGAAGTTAAACCCCTCCATGTTAGATATCTAGACTTAATACCCCCGCGACCTCAGTCTGGCTTGTATAAGGTCCGTATCAGGGGGAGACCCTCTAAGATCACAGTTTTGTAAACTCTACCACACACACTCCATTAAACACCGGCTGGTGTATGTTTAATTTCAGAGGCGAAATCTTAAAAGTTTCGATTTCCTTTTCACAGGTAAAGATTGTACACATAAGCTCATGTCAACATTCGGGAAATGTAATGTACACACAGAGATTTTCACCTTGGCAGTCGATATAACAGAAAATTCCGGTGATAGCTCTACATTATGAACTATCTCCAAAAAAAAAATGCAGTGTACGTAACTCTACACACGGTGGGAAAATGTCGTTAAATAATCGCCGCGGGCGTGTTGTCAAAGGTTAAACTATCAAAGGATCCGCTTCTAATTTACAATGAACTTTTTAAATTTCAACGCACCTTATACAAAAAAATTAAAATGTTCACCGACAGGGCTGATACTTTATCGAGTTTTATCTGCTGTATTAAATTAAACAGCTTGTCATTAAACAGTTTAAAGCTCGGTACTAAACCATTATAAGGCTATAGTTAATCATTATTTTAATTTGTCGCCAGCCGGAGAAGTATATACATTTATAGGTAAAAGTTTCATTAAAAACAGCTTGACATCATTATAAAAACAAGATAAGATTAACTTAGAGCATATAAAATTCATAAGAAAACAACAACGACCTTGTTTACTGTCCTTTAATGTCACTGTAAACTGACTTTCTATTGAGATGCATCAATCCAATTTAAAAAATACTGTGCATGTAGCAGAATGATTTTGGACTCCCATCCCAACTTAAGAATCATGTGATCCAAAAGAAAAAAAGAATAATAATTAAAGAAATAAATTTAAAAAAATACACACACCGAAAACAATCACAGGAAACCATTACACAATTTTGATATGTACCAGTTCATTTTTTAAGAATTATTTTTTAATTCTTTATTTTTTGGAAAAATGTTCTTCATGCAAAATTTTATACGGACAAAATTTCTCTCAACACTACGTAATTTTGATACATGCACCAGTTATAATTATTGCGCAAACACATAACATTTGGAATTTCATTTAACATGTAAACAATATTTTATTTACAAATTGAATTGAAATGGCAGCTTTTAGCCCTCTCCCTACACCAATAGGACTTAGTAATCTTAACTTTTGCAGCAACATTAAATTCCTGACAACAAATCTCTGTCGGAATTCTTCAAGAGGTCGTAACAAAGGACTTAATTTAATTCAAGGGAAAATATTTACATATTTTGTTCTTACATCTGTTGAAGGGAGAATTTTTAAAGCCCTTGTAATACAAAGTTTACGAATCCTAATATTAAAATACAAGACGGATATATGGGGTTTCCTAAAATGGATTAAAATTAATTGTTATTCAATACGGCTTAATTTGGGAATCATGCATTGAATGGCCAGTCGTCTTTTACGCGCATATAGATTGCAATAATTTTTTTTTTCAATCAACCATCCGTGATACATGTCTAGTGTATTAAAGAAAATAATTTACAAAATCTTGTCACTTCTTAGCAATACTGAATGTCTGTGTCCCTAAGATTTCAAATTAAGTTTTATAATACATAAGTAATTTATTCAATAAAGAAAATGAGGTTAACAATAGGTCAGCATACTTAACAAACGATAAAATAAAAACTAATAGACCAGATTTCACACACTTCAGTATTTACTACATTTACCCCAGCGTTTACCTATATCTGACCCTGTTAAGTGCACCTTTAACCATTAACAACACGGTGGAACACAGATGAATTGAGCGTCCCTCATTTTGTATTCAAATCTCAACCCTCTCCTTCAGGGCAGCGCCTAATCGCCAGACAAACACGCAGAACATCAATTTGGTTTTCGAGTGAAAGTGAAAAAAAAAATAATAAATTGCATATTCCGCTTGGGGCTAGCGGAAATTTATATTTTCAAATCATTTCCTAAAACAGTTTCTGTTCGACCGTCAGATCTAAGAAATATTATATATGTACCACTACTAAACAGCTTGATAACCATCAAATAAAACTTGTAGATAAACATGTAAAAACCATGATATATTTACATTCATAACAAGATGAATACATATAAACATGATAAATGAAGACTTTTTCAAGTCACAAAGATTTAGGATTTCATGTGGCGGATTCTAGTGAGGTGGACCACAGCATAAATCTAAACTGTGTCTACGGATAACACTGTCTCTACACGCGGTGAACACGTGAGTCCCGTCACACTTGACTGAATACACGGGGTCACACTCTGACCCCGTCAGCTCCACTCTAGCGTGAAACTGAGAGTCTGTATAAAAACAGGAACCGTCACCTGGAAAATAAAACCAGGATGTCAGAATTTAAATACCTGATGATTTACTATTCTATACAACTATCTACACGTATCCCGTGATTCATAGGTAAAAAATAAAATGAATGGAGAGAAAAAACACTCTCTTTTCTTAAATTATCCATGTCACATATGAAATTTATACCAAACATAATTCAAAGAAATCAAACACATAATGCAAGAGTCAAGCACCATGGACATGACCTTATAAACTGTGTATACTGTATACAGGGCTATTCTTCGCCCTTTCACACTTGCAAACAATTTTGCCCTGCTTTAAATTCGCCCAGTCACAATTCTCTTCAAGAAATTATACTGCGTTTTTTGAATTCGTTCCGTTTTAAATTCACCCGTGTGTGAGTAGGGCTAAAGGGGCGAAAATAAAACGGGGACAAAAATTTCCTTGTATACAGTATAGACAGTATCAAATCAGTCACCTTATTTAGATTACAGTAACTTACCCGTGCCAGTAAAGAATCCTCCATTGCAGGGACAGAAACACAAAACAGCAGATCGGCTGTCTTTCCATTCTTTCAGAGGAACCCTGAATAATTATAAAAATCAATGTACATTCATAATAACATTCATATTAACAAAATATTTTTTTGTGAATTTGGAAAGATAACTTCAACATTCAGAATCAAAGATTTATGAAATATGGTACACAAATAGACCTTATGATGCAATTTGATTTTGGTACATGTACTACATTTGTATACATGTAATTCCATAGTTTTAAAAATACTAGGAAAAAACTGCAAAAGTAAAAAAAAAATCTGATATGTCAGGGGACGTAACTCCAATATGGTGTACACATCTTTATCAACTTGCTAGGTATAGCTTGATCTTGCCTGACTAATTTCAGCCTGCCAGATTTTGCCCATCCTCTTTCATTTCTGACTTTAAAAACCTGCATATTTCCCCTATTTTCTATATGTTTATAAAGTAACAGCAGTTCTTTTTTGGATCAAAATGCCCAATATTATTAATATAATGTCTCAGAAAATCTGCCCAGTAATTTCAGATAAGAACATTTTTGATGATGGACAACACATTCTGTGTAGATCTATGACTGAGATGTGACATTACAGACCTGATATTGTGTATAAGACTGAGATGTGACATTACAGACCTGATGTTGTGTATAAGACTGAGATGTGACATTACAGACCTGATGTTGTGTATAAGACTGAGATGTGACATTACAGACCTGATGTTGTGTATAAGACTGAGATGTGACATTACAGACCTGATGTTGTGTATAAGACTGAGATGTGACATTACAGACCTGATGTTGTGTATAAGACTGAGATGTGACATTACAGACCTGATGTTGTGTATAAGACTGAGATGTGACATTACAGACCTGATGTTGTGTATAAGACTGAGATGTGACATTACAGACCTGATGTTGTGTATAAGACTGAGATGTGACATTACAGACCTGATGTTGTGTATAAGACTGAGATGTGACATTACAGACCTGATGTTGTGTATAAGACTGAGATGTGACATTACAGACCTGATGTTGTGTATAAGACTGAGATGTGACATTACAGACCTGATGTTGTGTATAAGACTGAGATGTGACATTACACACCTGATGTTGTGTATAAGACTGAGATGTGACATTACACACCTGATGTTGTGTATAAGACTGAGATGTGACATTACAGACCTGATGTTGTGTATAAGACTGAGATGTGACATTACACACCTGATGTTGTGTATAAGACTGAGATGTGACATTACAGACCTGATGTTGTGTATAAGACTGAGATGTGACATTACAGACCTGTATAAGACTGATATGTGACATTACAGACCTGATGTTGTGTATAAGACTGAGATGTGACATTACAGACCTGATGTTGTATATAAGACTGAGATGTGACATTACACACCTGATGTTGTGTATAAGATTGAGATGTGACATTACAGACCTGATGTTGTGTATAAGACTGAGATGTGACATTACAGACCTGATGTTGTGTATAAGACTGAGATGTGACATTACACACCTGATGTTGTGTATAAGACTGAGATGTGACATTACAGACCTGATGTTGTGTATAAGACTGAGATGTGACATTACAGACCTGATGTTGTGTATAAGATTGAGATGTGACATTACAGACCTGTATAAGACTGAGATGTAACATTACAGACCTGATGTTGTATATAAGACTGAGATGTGACATTACACACCTGATGTTGTGTATAAGACTGAGATGTGACATTACAGACCTGTATAAGACTGAGATGTAACATTACAGACCTGATGTTGTGTATAAGACTGAGATGTGTCATTACAGACCTGTATAAGACTGAGATGTGTCATTACAGACCTGATGTTGTGTATAAGACTGAGATGTGACATTACAGACCTGATGTTGTGTATAAGATTGAGATGTGACATTACAGACCTGATGTTGTGTATAAGACTGAGATGTGACATTACAGACCTGATGTTGTGTATAACACTGAGATTGTCATTACAGACCTGATGTTGTGTATAAGACTGAGATGTGACATTACAGACCTGTATAAGACTGAGATGTGACATTACAGACCTGATGTTGTGTATAAGACTGAGATGTGACATTACACACCTGATGTTGTGTATAAGACTGAGATGTGACATTACAGACCTGATGTTGTGTATAAGACTGAGATGTGACATTACACACCTGATGTTGTATATAAGACTGAGATGTGACATTACAGACCTGATGTTGTGTATAAGACTGAGATGTGTCATTACAGACCTGATGTTGTGTATAAGACTGAGATGTGACATTACAGACCTGATGTTGTGTATAAGACTGAGATGTGACATTACAGACCTGATGTTGTGTATAAGACTGAGATGTGACATTACAGACCTGATGTTGTGTATAAGACTGAGATGTGACATTACACACATTACACACCTGATGTTGTGTATAAGACTGAGATGTGACATTACAGACCTGATGTTGTGTATAAGACTGAGATGTGACATTACAGACCTGATGTTGTGTATAAGACTGAGATGTGACATTACAGACCTGTATAAGACTGAGATGTGACATTACACACCTGATGTTGTATATAAGACTGAGAAGTGTCATTACAGACCTGATGTTGTGTATAAGACTGAGATGTGACATTACACACCTGATGTTGTGTATAAGACTGAGATGTGTCATTACAGACCTGATGTTGTATATAAGACTGAGATGTGACATTACAGACCTGATGTTGTGTATAAGACTGAGATGTGACATTACAGACCTGATGTTGTGTATAAGACTGAGATGTGACATTACAGACCTGTATAAGACTGAGATGTGACATTACAGACCTGTATAAGACTGAGATGTAACATTACAGACCTGATGTTGTGTATAAGACTGAGATGTGTCATTACAGACCTGTATAAGACTGAGATGTGTCATTACAGACCTGATGTTGTGTATAAGACTGAGATGTGACATTACAGACCTGATGTTGTGTATAAGACTGAGATGTGACATTACAGACCTGATGTTGTGTATAAGACTGAGATGTGACATAACAGACCTGATGTTGTGTATAAGACTGAGATGTGTCATTACAGACCTGATGTTGTATATAAGACTGAGATGTGTCATTACAGACCTGATGTTGTGTATAAGACTGAGATGTGACATTACAGACCTGATGTTGTGTATAAGACTGAGATGTGACATTACAGACCTGATGTTGTGTATAAGACTGAGATGTGACATTACAGACCTGATGTTGTGTATAAGACTGAGATGTGACATTACAGACCTGATGTTGTGTATAAGACTGAGATGTGACATTACAGACCTGATGTTGTATATAAGACTGAGATGTGACATTACAGACCTGATGTTGTGTATAAGACTGAGATGTGACATTACAGACCTGATGTTGTGTATAAGACTGAGATGTAACATTACAGACCTGATGTTGTGTATAAGACTGATATGTGACATTACAGACCTGATGTTGTATATAAGACTGAGAAGTGTCATTACAGACCTGATGTTGTGTATAAGACTGAGATGTGACATTACACACCTGATGTTGTGTATAAGACTGAGATGTGACATTACAGACCTGATGTTGTATATAAGACTGAGATGTGACATTACAGACCTGATGTTGTGTATAAGACTGAGATGTAACATTACAGACCTGATGTTGTGTATAAGACTGAGATGTGACATTACAGACCTGATGTTGTGTATAAGACTGAGATGTGACATTACAGACCTGATGTTGTGTATAAGACTGAGATGTGACATTACAGACCTGATGTTGAGTATAAGACTGAGATGTGACATTACAGACCTGTATAAGACTGATATGTGACATTACAGACCTGATGTTGTGTATAAGACTGATATGTGACATTACAGACCTGATGTTGTGTATAAGATTGAGATGTGACATTACACACCTGATGTTGTGTATAAGACTGAGATGTAACATTACAGACCTGATGTTGTGTATAAGACTGAGATGTGACATTACAGACCTGTATAAGACTGATATGTGACATTACAGACCTGATGTTGTGTATAAGACTGATATGTGACATTACAGACCTGATGTTGTGTATAAGATTGAGATGTGACATTACACACCTGATGTTGTGTATAAGACTGAGATGTAACATTACAGACCTGATGTTGTGTATAAGACTGAGATGTGACATTACAGACCTGTATAAGACTGAGATGTGACATTACAGACCTGATGTTGTGTATAAGACTGAGATGTGACATTACAGACCTGATGTTGTATATAAGACTGAGATGTGACATTACAGACCTGATGTTGTGTATAAGACTGAGATGTGACATTACAGACCTGATGTTGTGTATAAGACTGAGATGTGACATTACAGACCTGATGTTGCGTAGATCTAAGACTGAAATGTGTCCATCCTGTGTCCCAATGATTGCTGTAATGTCTGACAGAAACTCACAACAGTTGACTGGACTGTGGGCAGGAAACTCAAATACCTATAACATACAACAGGTGTGATAAACCTCTATTATAAAAAAAATCACATTGACGATATATATAATACACCATCATCAGAAGCCATAGAACTATAACTCTCCATTATAAAGAAAAAATCTTGGGGAATGAATACTTGTATGCTTCCTTTGAATCGGCTCTGTTTATTCCCTAAGTATTACCACATCTTCACTAACCAGGAGTCAGTTATCCACTCTTCTACTCTGGAGATGATATTACCAGGTAAACAGTATAAATACATATGTGAAAAACAAAATTATACCTTTTTACGAGTCTGCAGTCCATAACCTTGTACTGTAGAATTCTCACAGCCAAGTAGGAGTAGCTTCCCTTGTGTACCAACCTCTCTATCAGCTAAAAACATGACACATTACAAATATGTTTAAATCTACTTCAATTTCACTAAATTTTATTTCTTTTGATACTTTTCAGGCATGTATGAGTGATTTGAAAAGTAAGGGGGGTAAAAAGTACAAATTATTAGTGTGATACTATAGGAACCTTGAAAATTTTAATTATCAGTATACCTGGTGATACATGTATGTACATATACACATGTACTGGATATGTAGTAACTGAACTTAGTGAATCTTGGATTCCATTTCTTGGGTAAATGATTGAACTCATTCAAAGACTCTTTACTGAGTATAAGAACATGTATAAAATATTTTCTTGGTCCTCTGCCTTTAATACCTGTGAGTATACTCATTTATAGATGCTTAACATGGTTTAATATTATGCTTACTAGTTTGCTAGTCCCCTGTCTCCAGACTCAGTGAGTAAACTTATTTGTAGATGCTATACTTGGTGAGTATCCTTACTTGTTTACTGGTCCCCTGTCTCTAGACTCATTGAGTACACTCATTTATTTATGCTATACTTGGTGAGTATCCTTACTTGTTTACTGGTCCCCTGTCTCTAGACTCATTGAGTACACTCATTTATTTATGCTATACTTGGTAAGTATCCTTACTTGTTTACTGGTCCCCCATCTCTAGACTCAGTGAGTACACTCATTTATAAATGCTATACTCGATAAGTATCCTTACTTGTTTGCTGGTCCCTGAGTCCAGACTCAGTGAGTACACTTCTTTATAGATGCTATACTTGGTAAGTATCCTTACTAGTTTGCTGGTCCCCCGTCTCTAGACTCAGTGAGTTCTCTACGTTCCTGAGACAGCAGCAGTTGACCTCACCCCCGTTCTCCTCGTACGACCCCAGACATTGCTGTTGACCCACGTCCCACAGCTTGGCTGACCCATCCTTACCACAAGACACAATATTTCTGCCCCGGTCCACCATGGCTGTGTCATTTATAGCTAGAACAGAGTTCACAGAATGGTACAGTGTGTCAATCATTACAATACAATGTCAAAGAAAGTTCATTCGAAAAATGTATGGACTAAATTTGGCAATCTATGAAAATAAATTCATATAATGTGTGTAGTTCAATTTTCAGGTATTTGAAATAATGCATGTTTTGTGATCATTATTATTTACAAAGAAATAATGAAAGATCAGAACAGAACTCAGGTAAATAACTATAATACTCAGTGATATAGATATAGCTTAATACTCAGGTATATAATATTCAAGTATTTGTTAGTGCTCAGGTACATACATGTAAGTATTAGTACTTGGGTACATAAATACATTTAAAATACAAGTAGAGTACTCAAGTATTCTAGTAGTCAGGTATATAAGTACAGTATACGAGGGGTTATCAAAAAGGTCGTGACCTGATGTGATAAAATTAATACTATCTTGTCCATGAGGACAAAATTTCTAAGGAACATAAAATAACAAAAGTTTAAGAAGTGCTGAAAATTTCAGCTTGATACGTTGATAATTTTCCAAATGATCATTAAATAAAAAAGACATTATATGATCACCCGGAGCTGTCGCCGTTTAGTTTTATGATGTCCGATGTCATTATTTCTCAATACCCACTCCTTCTGCCTCAATACACTTATCTTGATGAGATTCTCTGGAGTTCAGTAAAGACCTTAATCCGTCTTGTTATATGACTTTACAATGTCATGAACAGCTCATTTCAATGCATTAATATTGCAAATGGATCTAAACATAGGGAAAGACCCTTGCTTGATTATACCAACATAATTTGCTTGATGGAGTTCAATGTCTACCATATGTGATCAACATCACTTTTTGATGCAACTGGCTTTGGACACCCTGACTACAAATCGACATTAACTGTGCATCCCTTCACTCGCTAAATATGTTTCGGCATTTAAAAACAAGTGCCATGGATGCATTCTATTCCTCTGCAGCCCATTTAAACATTTTCTAGGTCTATGCCAGTTTTTCCAGGGGGAAAAGTTTATAGAATGTCGGAAAATGACACCCTCCCCCCTTTTGACGTCAATTTTAACCCCTTAATTGTTTGAACATTCCATTAAAATTCACAATAAAATTTCAAAGAATTTACAGAATGAGGTAAAAATTGCAACTTATATGGAACAATTGTTTCATATAACGTGAATGAATTAACGGGATTTTTGGATGACAAATGCTCATATCAAAAGAGTATTTCTCAGTTGCACTTGTTCGAGGTTGTGCCCCCTGGACATACCATTGCTTACAATAACACTAATAATTTATTAAAAATAAAAATTATGATTTATTGTTTATTTTATAGATATAAAAGATGATACTTATTAAACGTATAAAAATTCATTGCTGTACCTCAAGTGGTTATAATTTTATGGTGCTAGTCCACAAACTTTTTGATAACCCCTCGTAGAAGTAATTGCCTTTCTTTTTTTTTTTTTGAGTATAGTGCTCAGGTATATCAATATATACAAGTATTAGTACATTGTCCTCCAGTTTATAAGAATTAGTACTCAGGTTTATTAGTATTAGTACTCAGGTTGATAAGTACTGCTACTCAGGTTTTAAGTATTAATACTTGGGAAGATTAGCATTAGTACTTGGGCTTATAAGTATTTAAGTACATTCCAATCTACATCAATGACCACATGCAGCACCCCATCCTTTGGTAATATGAATTTTTCATTATAAATTTCCTGCGATTCCAAAATAATTATCACATCAAAACCAGAACACTGGTTGTACCTTTTCATCATTTTATGTTCCCGCCATGAAGCCCCGGGGCATATAGTATTACCCCTTTCTGTTCGTCATTCTGTCATAGTTAGTTTCCGAACTTTTTTTACCATGCATGTAGATTACTAAGATAATGAGCTGAGGTTTGGTATGTTACATGTTACACTTGGTATATTATTGATGACTTGCAGATCCAGTTTGTGTTCTGTGGTAATTGGCCCATTTTTATGAAAGTAACGGCCCTTAGAACTTGAAACTTTTTAATAATTCACTGCTTTCCAGACTTTTTTTTTGGCTATACTTGTTGATAATGAGTCAATATTTGATAAGTCTCTTGATATCAATGACTTCAAATCAAGTTTAAGTTTTGTGATGATTGACCCATTTTCATGAAAGTTATGACCTTTGGAATTTGAAAGTTTCCAGTAAATCATTGCTTTCAGGACTTTTCTCTGTGCTTGTTGATAAAGAGCTGATTTTTAGTATGATGATTTACCAATCAGGTAGCAGTTTCTTGAATGACTGATCTATTGTTAAGAAGGTTATTGCCCTTAGACTTTCAAAATTCCTTATTATTCAGTGTTTTTCCGTATTTTTTGGTGGCTGTGCTTGTGGATAATGATCTTTGGTTTGCCTCTTTTATGATATCTTACAGATCGTATATGAGTTTGTGAAAATTGACCCATTTTTACAAAAGTTATTGCCCTTAAAATTTTCAGTTATTCAATGTTTTTGGACCTTTTCTATCCTGACACATCTAGTTTTCTTTTCTTTTTTTTTTTTAATATTTTATTATTTTTTTAAAATTAGAATCAAGAAGGACTGCATGTATTATGTCTGTATATTATCTGATTAATTATCTCCCTTTGACATGAGTTACAATGTACCTGCCCTGTGTCCTGTAAAGGTGGCAGCACATTTTCCTGTCTCCGCTGACCAGATTTTTAACTGCATGTCTGCTCCTCCACTGAGCACCACGAGACCCGAGGGGAAAAATTGGCAGGTGTAAACATCACCATAGTGACCAACAAAATCCCTCTTCAAATAAAAAGTACAGTCATTAAAGATGGAGACAAAAAAAGTTTTCTTGTCCAGACCCATACAAAAAGGTAAGATTTAATGAATTTTGAGGTGAAAAAATATCAGAACAATATTGCAGAGCAGGCATTCAATACATATTTAATATATAGATATATATATATATATATATATATATATATATATATATATATATATATATATATATATATATATATATATATATATATATATATATATATATCAATATCATTACCATCACTTTTGATGGAGAATAATATATTAACTCAATACCATGAACACTTAAGGACTAATGACCCTCTGCTCCCAATTTCACGAAAATTTTTTAAACTTCCCAACATTGATTTTCATCAAGAGCTATAGCATCAAAATCAAATGAAAAATAGTATGAGGTATGAAGCACTGCTTATTTTTTCAGAAATGATTTTTATGTCAGATCGTAATATGAAGAAATTTTAACACAGAGATTAGGAAGAGTAATAATTTATTATCACAACCTAAAATTAGAAATATGTGGTGTATATGAAAATAATATTTAGTGTCATACCTACTAAATTCATATTAGAAATCATAATGAAGCGCTGCTTCCTAAGTCAGAATATCACAATGTTATATGTGGTTGTAAGAAAACAATACATCTGTTAGCAAGAGTTATCTTTCTTATAAATATTTTTTCATTGGGAAAAAAATGTAATACTAATAAAAATTCTACATTTTGGTGCTTGATACATTAAACCATGTTTAAAAAAATCGTTAAAAAGATAGAACTTATTCAATTTTAAAGGGTTTTGAAACTGCAGTTAAATGTTTTTCTGTCTAACATAATAAAACAATTTAAAAAGTACAGTCAAAGGAAATATAAGGTTATGTTTCCATTATATGTTATGTTTGATCGAATTAACTGCTCACAGGTCTCAATAATTAAACTCTGATAAAGTAAACTATGAGTAATATTAGGATATTTTACTTGGAAAGTTATCTCTCTTATCAGAGGGTTGGTCCCCCTTAATATCTTAAATAATGATCAATAAAAAAAAAATTTAAATATCCTTAATTTTTTTTTTTTGGGGGGGGGGGGGGGGGACATGCATTTATTACAGAAAACTTACCAAAGGTAAAAATAAGAAGTACAAGAATTACCAACCCTGACTTCTCCTGTGTCTGTCTGCCATAATCGCAGCTTTCCCTCTGTGTCAGCTGATACACCAAGTCCTCCCTCTGTAACATCGAGACTGACCACCTTAAATACACAAATAAAGAATGATGACCTTAAATACACAAATAAAGAATGATGACCTTAAATACACAAATAAAAACTGACCATCTTAAAATCACAAATAAAGACAATTTAAAACACCTTAAATACACAAATATCAGGACTGACAACCTTAAATACACAAAAATCAAGACTGACCACCTAAATACACAAATATAAGGACTAACCACCTTAAATACAAAAATGTCAAGACTGACCGCCTTAAATTCACAAATATCAAAACTAACCACCTTATATATACAGATGTCAGCACTGACCACATTAAATATACAAATATCAAGACTGACCATATCTTAAATACACAAATATCACAGAGTGGTATTAAATTTTCACTAAACATTGAAATGCAACAATATTAAACATGAAATAATTAACATGGATTGGTACAGAAAGGGAATTGCTGCATAAAGTAATCTGGAAAGTTTAACGTTCAAAATCAAAAAGTCTTGCATGTAGCTTCTCAGACAGACTTGAAACAATCCTTAAATGTCAAAATTAAAAAGAAAAGAAAGCCTTCAGAAATTTTCCAGAAATAAAATGGCTCAACTCATTTTCCTCCTGATTGAATTGTTTCCAAACAGCTGGATTTTTATTTTGACCCGATGAAGCAATATCTTTTTCTTTTAAACAGTAGAAATCCTTTAACATATTTATTTCAATTTACAACTTGCAAAATTCAGTAGTGAAACAGAGTAGTATAAAGCAGATCAGCCATCGAATCTAAAAAAGACAACATGATAATACTGTAGTTAACACCAATATATACTAGACAAACTTTTCCTAATTTATCACATGAAAATAATTTTGATATTGTATTTTTTAAAAATATTTTATATACCTCAGACACATGTAAAGTTTTTAAATACTTACACTTTTTCTGTCATTGTGGATGGCTTTGAAAGAAACATTTGGTGCCACAAATTTTCTGGATAGGTTAGTGGAATCATCTGTGTAGGATACAGTGATTGATCTCTAAAAATATAAACAGATCATTAAATTTCATTGTCATTGGAATCTGCACTCCTAGGATGAATGAAAAGTTTAGCTCTGCATACCTACAGAAAGTCTAGAGCCTTGAAAACCATGCAGTTATAGACACACTTTCATTGTCGTTAACGTTTTGTTCACAATTTTTAATTTCTCTACTTATCTTAAAAATAAATTATTAATAAGTTTAATGATTTGAATTTACATGACAAGTATTCCTTGACAACAGTACTTTCCACAACCGTACACCAAACAATTATGTGTTTGTAAACATGAACTTGAGCTCTGTTTTTGGTTTTGTTTACATTTTACCACATGTGTTGATTTTCTCACACTGCAAAAATCATTGAGTAGGAAATGACAAAACTGGACCTTAACTATTAGCCCTTTCACGATAACTGTGGTACTACTCTTTTGCAGGGCAAATTAATAACATTTGGCGGAGTTTTTGTTGACCGATAATTAAATGACGTATTTTAAACAATTGCTTTTACGTCATATTTCACCAAATATCATTTTGCCCTCCAAAAGAGCAGTACCGCAGTTATCGTGAAACAGTCAATTGATTGATTTTGCTTTCTTTCTGAGTCAATATATAAAAAAAGTAAAAACACCATTTCATGTCATTAGAGATTAAAGATACAAAACCTCTGTAAATCACCTTGGTAACTTCCTGTACAGAGAAACCATCACTTCCTGTCACGTAGGGAACACCGTCACTGGACATACCTTGATTATACAGACTTCCATGGACTGATGGTTGGGCTGTTAAGAGAAGTAATTAAACCATTAGAATAAAATTCAAAATCAATTTTAACAAAATTAAAATTTATGATATTTATATTACAAAGCAAAAAGCAGAATCAGATCTAAATGCATTTCATTTATAATAAAAACTAAATTTTCTCTGCAATTTTATCCAGAATTATGAATCTTCAAATTCAGACCAGGAACATAAACCTTGGTACCTCCGGACTTGTATGAGATCCATACCTTTTCTTCATCTTCTCTGAAATGAAATCATCGAAATAAAATAATGACAATTGGAATAAAACCATATGAGATGTACGTAAATAACTGGGCCAAAATTCAATGTTCTTACCAGGGACCTATATACTAACGTATATAGGTCCCTGTTCTTACTTTATTCCTGTATTTATTTATTATGATATTATTAATTGTAACTTTTTAGCATGATAACATATTGACTCAAATTTATTCTGAACTTAAACTTATTCTGAATGATAAACTAAATGCTCCTGTAGATACTTTAAAACTTCATCCCAGTCCGACTGCAAAATTATCCTTTCCATGTTTATATGATGATATTTATTGGAACGACGAACCCGATCCAATGAAGCTTCAAAACACTGTGATCTGCCTTCGATGTAAAACGGAATAACCGGAAATCTACATTTTGAAATAAATCTTAACGTATTTCTAACAGTGAATTAGAATAAGATAAAGTAATTAAAAACATTAAATGCATGTACTTTCCCAATGTGATTTTGTTCACAAATACTTCGTTATTAAAGTCGGAGAATTTTTCCTGGAGATTAAACATGACAGGTACCCGATGTTGAAAATGAACAGTACAAACTCAATATATACACCTTGATATGATAAATTTTCTCAAAGTCATAAAATGAAATTTAAAAAAGTTTAAATAAAATAATAATAATACATGTATATATAATAATAACAATACTGAGTGTACGTTTGTTAAAGGAAATATACCTTCTGAACATATCTTGCGTATACTGTATGTGTACTTAAAAAAGCGGTCTTCATATTTTAGCGGCTTTAGCGCATACGCATGAATAGTTATACCGCTAAGAAATCATTTATAAATACAATATACGGCACGGACAAGTATAGCGCTAATTCATGATTTCGCCAACAATTCCATACCCAGTGATGGCGCTAAATTTTGAATTCGCCAATTTATGTACACGTACAGTATCTGTAGAAAAAAAAAACAGACAGGGAAAAGTGTTTTTCTTTTAATTTTACGGAGCCGCAAACTGGAAATCTCTCTCTCTCTCTCTGAACATATATTATAAAACACTATATATATATAATCGTATATTGTGGAATTATGAGGTAAAGAAAAACTATGAAATATCAGGCTTCTAGCTGGAAATTCAAGTGAATAGTTTTCCCCCGCACGTAGTTAATAAGAGCTAGAGATTCCGTCTGTATAGTTTACAGGTCGATCTGAGAAAAGAATGGGATGAAAGATCATAGTCTCTACGTTTATCCCATTTCAGTGAGGTACATGTATAAACCTATGACTATAAAAGTCATGTGACTGGTCTTATCCAGTGTCTAGGTCACTGAAGATCAACGGGGGAAATAAATCAATTTATAAAAATTGGAAAATAAACACAAAGACGTTTTATAGTTTCCTATAATTTATCATGTTTATGAAAACTTCATTCGCGTGCCTATTTTCTTTTTACTATTACAAACAAAGAAAGATAATTTCAAAATTTTTGTATTAAATTTTGCAAAATTAATTCGGATATAATACAGATACTGTGCTTAAATTTGATACTTCACTAAAGGTACTTCGTGGAATTTTTTTTCTTCTTAAAAAAAAAAGATAATCAAATTCGACTTTTCTTTGATTTATTATTTTGGGAAAAAAAAAGGGGGGGGGTAAGCGATCCGCGAAAATATTATGATTTATTTACTATTTGGGGGTTCGGGGAGTCGAGTGATATTAGACAATATTTACTTAGATAAGTGGACGTTGAAGAAAAAATATTTACGAAACCTTTCTGTTCACACCCTACCTAACATAACAACCTGTTCTGGCTGTTGGTCTATCTTCTGTATATATTGATTTTGCGCGTCCACAATACGATATTGATTTGTTAGTTAATCAAATTTATTCAATCTCAGTCGCTAATGTTTATGTAGGTTAATATTACGAATGTAATTGAAAATCTCTTTCACCTCTTGTATCCGAAATTAAACTTTTAAGCCACTAAGGACTGTATTATGAGAATTCTCGAGGGTAGATGAAGTGGTCATGGGATTATAAATGAAATTAAATACCCTGTCCCGAACAAATATGTATGCATTAAACTCTTCGCTATTGTTTATTAAATAACAGATACCAAACAGTAAATAACAACGGGCCAGTTTTTTTCTTTCATTGAACAAAGTCCTTTATCGGAAAGCGAATTTGCGAAAAGGTATAAAAATAAAAATCGAAGTCTCTCGTTTGTTTAAGCATATCACGAACAAATAAATCTATCTCCGTGTTTAAATAAATCTATCTCCTGTGTTAAAAAACTGCTATAGTTCTATAGAAAGTGAAAGGTACACGGTTTTTATTATCACACACTGGTCTACACAGATACGGAGTTATTCGGTAAATATTTTTGTGAATTTGATGGAAAAAGTAAATTTTTATAGTCCGTGATATCTATGAGAATTTCTTTATACTTATTTGTAACTCAAAGATGTTAAATCATTATTACATGTACATGTTTAATTGTGAATTTTATGTTTCAGCATGAGGACTTTAAGGAACAGATCCCTAATTTGACGAATCAGTGTACGAGAAGATAAATATACTAGTTACGTATTATAAAGACCCTGTGTTTGTCTGTGTAAATTTGACCTTCCGCTGACTTGAATAATGAATCATTAAACTTTAAACCGTGAACTTAAAAAAAACCCCGAGAACTTCTAAACGCGGTCTGTGATGGAAAGAGGCCATGGTTTCTTGTGCCAGGGTACATGTAATAGTCGCCGGCTAACCTTCCTCTGCTACAACAAATTAATTAATCCGTTTTAAGTTGTTGGATTAATTAAATACAGTCCCGACCTTTCTATTTCTGGCCGTGGCTATAGTGTATATCGAGGTCTCCAATGTAACGAAATGGCTTCTACACCCCCTGCAGAACGCCACTCGCCCGCTGCAGTTGCAGGAAGGAGAGCCTATATCCCGTCCTGGCTGTTCAGATTACCTCCCACACGGGAACAGCGAATGATGGACAAGATCATCCCTACTCCCCAGGAAAGAAAGACATTACGGGAACAGGCCCGGGCTCTCCAGCGAGGTAACTCCCCGCAACAAGGATTTATCAAGTCGATTGAAGAGTACGGCAACAATAAGACTATCAAGGCGAGGCCAGGATACACCATTTTGTCTCTAGATACAAATAGAACCTCATTCGAACACGAAGAAAAAGAACAAGAGTACCAAGATTTGAGAAAACTATTGTTTGATCCGAAACTAAAGTCTAAATCTGACTTAGACGCACAAACAATTGGATCCAAATCTACAGGGAATCGCCGGAAAAACCGCGGGAAATCCTCCACGACAATTTCAACGGCTATTACGTCAACCACGCGTGGATCGAGGGATGCAGGTGTTACTCAGAGTATGTCCGTCAAAGACTTTATAGAAAGCAGCGGTATTGGACTTGATCATTTCCAAAAGCACTTACTTTGTGTGAAGAAACTTGCTAAACGCTACCGGAAGAACAGACGAACGCATGGTGTCCCAGGGATTACAGTACAAGTGTTCGATTGAAAATCACGTGATTGACAATTCATAAACACGACTTCTGCGCAATTTTCATTTTTATTGGATTGTATGCATTGATTTAAGGGAGATTTTTTATCTGTTTGTATTGAGCAGTGTATGAAAGCATTCCATTTCATTGTGTGTTTAAAAAATCAATTGTTAATCGATGTTTTAATGTTTGACATCTCGTTTGAAGTGCTCTTTGAAATCATTTCTCGATATAAACTCAATTAGAGTTTGTTATATTTCAGCGGTGGAATTTATATAATTACCCATTTAATCTGCACCAGAACCTTGCTTTTATAATAGTCACACCTTCAGGCAGGTTTAGTGTGTTTTTCTGTTGCGATAATTTCTGCTACCCTGAGATTTTGTATTGTGCTAAATTATGCTCGTGGTGGACAAATTTTATTTTTGGTGTATACGTTCATAACCCGTATTGTTGTTTATTATTATAGATATTTATTATAACTTTTATATTAAACATTTTTTACATCAGAGGGGTGTTCGATTTCATTTTTAAGAGAACCTCAGAAAAAGTCAGACCATTGCAAATGGAAGTCAGCAAAATGCAGAAATAATACGTGGAAAAAAATAAATTAAATCTGCATGTTGTACTGGCTTTTCTCTTCTATAGCCAAAGAGCTGTCTGGTTCTGCGGATGTTTAAAATTCTTCAGTATTTTTTGTTGTTGCCGTTTAAAATCTGAATTGTGATAATTGGTGTTCACATGACTATTTTATTAAGATGCAGAGCCCCTTTTTTATATTCTATAATGCTGTATCTGTCGAGAGAAGACTGATGTCTTGTTAAATAACTTTTTGGTTTCTTTTTTAAAATATAAAAGCTGTGATTTATATATAATTTGATTAACTATAGAAACTGAAATATATTATAATTATGTAAGTTGTATAAGAGGAAGTGGTTGCCTCTTCCCCTATTTATCCTATCATCTCCTCAATATGCACATCAGACAAACGAAACTGATTTCCTGTCGGGATCTCCATGATTCTCTTTGATTTGAAACAGAAACATTGTGTCTTTGGCTGTTGGTAGTTATTTAGTTTAACAAGGGGCTTCTATAAAGCATGATGTAGATAAACGATCTAGCATTGTCTCCCCACATGTATTAAAGCTTTTCCTATACTCACTATTAGCATACATGTAGGTCGAATAAAAACTCTGCATGGCCCAGTATGGTGAGTATTCAGTTTTCAAAACTGAAAATCGATTTTTACGTAAAAGTAATAATGAATTAGCCATTAATTAAAATTTAAATCAATTGAATTATGTGGAAAATGTAATTTCCTTAGCACTGATGTAAATACTGAAAACTTTAACAACAGCAGAATACATGTATAAGTATTATTTTGCAAACAATTTGAAGGTCGACTCTTACAAGTAAAATAATTCTGAGTTATTGATATATATAAATAAATTTCTAGTTTGCTAGACTTTATACTCTAAACTGGGACCGTTCTATATTTTTTTGGATGCATATAGACCGCATGCCAATATCATTTTTAATTAGTAAATAATGCTTAATTGAAACGAAACCTAAGAAAAAAGTTATGAAAAAAATTAAATCATAAAATGGCAACATTTTTGTTTTGTTTCAAAATTGCGATCATATATCAACATTTTGCAGACAAGCATGATTCATTGAATGTCTATTATCATTTTATACTCAGAAAAATATTTTCATGGAATACATATGTAATATTGATCTATAAACAGATTATTGTGACATATTTTAAATTTATCAAAAAGGATCT